TATGACACTTAATGATTCTAATAATAAATATTTGATAACAGTTTATATATCCTCCATCATTTTTCTTTAATTTTACATTATTAAAATAAATTAAACAATCAAATTAGCTATAAAATTAAATTTTAGATTTTTTCGTATAGGTTATATTTTGAATTTTAAAAAATGAGAATAAATAACTAAACTATTAAAATTATTATGTAAAAATTTAATGATCAATAGTTTAAAATTTTTATTATAAAAAGATATACATATTTTAAAACTATATAAGTAAAAAGTATCATTCAATAATAAAACAAATATATATACAGATTAAACTATATACCATATAAGATTAGATAAATATTTTAATTTCAAAGTTTTCAATAAATTTTCAAAAACATTTATAAATTATAAACTTAATCAATTTTTCACATTGAAAATTTTTGTTATCAATGATTTTAATATCTTAGTTCTTTTTTTAATTTTATATTTTTTAAAGATATTAACAATTGATAATATGGTTATTTTTGGTATATACCATCCAAACCGAATGGATGTGATTTTATAAAAACCATAGGATTTGAATATGGTTTGATTTATATTGAGTGAATATCTATTTGTTACATGAGTTGAACTATAATTATAATTTGTAAATAGCTAACAATTTATTACAATTGAGACATCTTATTTTGATCTTTTGCTTTTTTAACAGTAACTAAATTGAAGTAAAAATTATAAATTTGATGGACAACAATTAGTTGAAATTCTTTACAACATTTTTTTTATCTTTAAACAAACAGAGTTGTGTTCAATCGAAGACATATTGGTTTGATGAACACTAAATATGGAAGAATATAAAAAATTTTCTTTCATGCTTCTGTTTTATTTTTTATTTTCAAAATTTAGTGTTTTGATATTAATTCTAGATTTGATCATTTTATTAGATGATAGAAGCTTTTTTGTTTTTTATTCTTTTATTTAAATATATAATATTTTTTTAATAAATGACTATGTGACAATATGACTCTTAATATGATCATATTATATATTTGTATAATATATAATATGATCTCAAACTAAATAATTATGTTTTTTGGTATAAAATTGAATAAACTGAAAACCGATGGTATATAAACCAAATCAAACTTAAGTACATATAGATTTAGAGTAGTAGTTATATTTTAATGATCGAAATACCAAAAAATCGAGCCGAACCGAAACCCGATATCCGGATTGAACACCTCTAATCCGCGAATGAAACCGAACTATTGTTTCATTTTTCAAAACATAATAGAAATAATAGCTTCATCCCGCGTAAGGCGCGGGTCTTATCCTATCTTCTCTATTAAAAGAGAAGTACCAAATTTATCTACTATTTAAAAGTCATATTGGACCATGTCATTAGTTATTTAATATGACATATTTAATTGTTACTTAACCAATAAAATATATATTATTTTAAAAATATCTTAATAATTAATAAGGATATTAATAATAAGTCTATCTATATAAAACAAAATCTGTTGAAAAAATCTAACGATATCTTACAGAAAATTTTAAATATTTTGTATATAAAATAAGTATTTCTTTATTTTTTTATTTTGTTATTAAATATAATTGTAAATTAACTTTAATTAAAAATAAAGTATAAATCATATATTTAAAAGTTTTAGCTATATGTTTATAAAATACATAATACCCGCACGGATGTGCGGGTCAAAATCTAGTTAACATTAAAAACATGACCAACAACTTTTATATATGTGGACTGGACTTTTCAAAAGTTGGGTTCTTCATTTACTTCCAACAATAATTTTTGTTTGCTAACATTTGCAAATGAAAGCCCACAATATATGTAGGCTCAAGTTCGTGACTGCCACAAGAACCAATTCTCATTCGGTGCAGAAAACGCCCTACATACTAGGGAAGCACCGAGGTAGATCTTCAACGGGATTACTTTAAACCTATTGATTAGGTTTCCTCGGACAAAAGTCGTAACGAAATTGACGACCATAAATACATTCTAAAGGGGTATACTTCAACCTATTAATAAGATTTTCTCGGACAACAGTCTTTAAGCAGTAACATATATTAACTTAACAAGGAACACGGAAGTAGATTTATAGATATCGAAAATACAGAACACTGTAGATACATATCTCAAGAACATAAAAAGCACATTTCAGGACGTACACATATAAAAAGCACACTGCGTTAAGAACTCTTCTTTATTTTTATTTTTATTTATTCATGTGGTATACAAAGTTTATATAGTATAGTTGCTTAATGGTGGCCACCACCACCGGGAAGCTTTTCCTTGATCTTTTCCATCATGCCTTTCTTCTCGTGGCGCTCACCACCGTAGCCTCCTCCGGCATCATAACCAGTGGTAGTTCCCATTCCCATCCCTTGAGATTGACCAGAATACTGATCATGATGGCCTGGCAACTTTTCCTTAATCTTATCCGTTATTCCCTTCTTCTTCCTCCTCCCACCTTGCCCATCATCCTCCTGTCATTATGTCGGTTTAATTGTTAAATACAAAAACACGCCACATTAATACACGGTACGCATGTTTAATATTTTATATTTGGTGTAACGTAACATACCGAACTAGAGCTGGATCCGGATCCAGAGCGGTGAAGCATTCCTCCCAAGCCACCACCTCCACTTTCCTTATGGAGTTGCTGTTGGCCGTGGTGCCTATTTCCTACTCCTGCTCCCAAGGCTCCAGTTCCAGCCCCGTATCCTTCGCCACCTGTCCCGTAAGTCCCACCCGTGGCTCCTCCGCCGTATCCTCCACCAGTCCCATAACCTCCTCCGGTTGCTCCAAGGCCACCACCTGTCCCGTATCCTCCACCGCCAATTGGGTTTCCATACTCGTCCAACTGCTGGATGGGGTTTCCGTACTCGTCAGTAGCCTGAGCTCCCGGTCGGTTCTGGTAAGAAGCCATCTTCTTCTTCTTCTTCTTCTTTCTGAGCAAACACTTTCAGCTTATCTAAAAACACTTTATGTTCGATCGATGTGATGAGATGTTGAGTTTTGATTGATGAAGTTTCGTTAAGCTCATGGAAGGTACATTTATAGTCCGGTTCTGGATATTGATCAACTCTTACTAAATGAATGAATCTTCATTTGAAAGCGACACGCGGCAGTAACAGCAATCAGACATGGTGCTCCTAAACACGTGTCGACACACAACTCCAAACCATATAATTAAAGAAACAAGATGGATATTTTTCAAAGTCGACTACGTACGTGTTCGTAACAATCCCATGACAGAGTGATGAATAATGATAAAAGAGGAAAAAGAAAAAATATCTGTCCTCTCTACTTCGTGTGTCGGTATTAACATTGTATCGTAGATGTTAGACACGTAACCCTTATCCTTGAAAGACGATGCGTCTTCTATCGTCTTGTTGTAGATTCATACATACATACAAGTGTTTACTGGTCTGAAGAACCACTTACTGGATCTTTTCGAAGAAACTTGACTCTAAAATATTGGGCTGAAGAACCACTTACTGGATCTTTTCTTCGTCAGCTTTCTTTACGAGTTTGGGCCTTATTAAGTTTCTGTCAAATATCTGCTAGCTAAGAATTATAAACACACAAACAAGAATTACAAAATACTTAGGGATTTTCTATCTATATGGTATCTCTTTAATATATAACAAGGGTTCCATAGAATTCAAGAAAGAGCCAAGCAATAAGTTACAGACATGGTAGCTAACCGATAACTCAGAAGGAGGGAGCCTAGAGCTTGTGAAAGTCGTCCTAAGTGTCATTCTCCTATTTCCGATTGGCATAAGCAGACAATTTAGATAAGTCAGGGATAACGAAAGCAAGCTCGGATGAGCCTGTCACAAACATGGGACTTCCTGGAGCCCATTTTATTACTGGAGGAGCTTCATTTCCATGACCACCCATCCAACTATGAACCTACACACATACAAACATGAATCCTGAATAAGCTAACACCGAATCATATCTGACTGAATGAAGTTTAGCATTGCTAGTCCAAACCTGTTTTCCGCTCCTCACAGTCCATGCATGGGCACTACCATCTCCTGAACCTACCGAACAATGAAACAGAGTTAATTTTACATAGAGAGAGTGTGAATGCATCACTAAGTAAAGAGCTGAGGACTAACCTGAAACAACATAGATCCCGTCAGGACTGAAGGTTGCATCCAATGTAGAATCTTCAGCCACTGGTTTCACACTATATGTGGATAGCTGCAATGTAGAAAAAGTAATAGTCAGATAGATTATACGAGAAGAAGATAGGAGAGGTGAAGGGCGTACGAGTGTTCCACGAAAAGAGTCAAGGACATGAATATGACCGTCCATGGTAGTAAGCAGCATAAGCCTTCCATCATTACTAAATTTGACAACGTTTGCCTCAGAAAGATCAGCACCAACGGAAAAAATCTCAAAAGGCCCCTAATCCAAGTAAAAAAAATTTGCAAATCAGAGAAAGGGATATATATATATATTATGTTCAGTGGTAAAAGAGAGTAATGAGATAAAGAAAGAAACCTTATGGTACATACGGGAATCAAACAATCTAATGTAGCCACCAAAGGCAATGGCAAAAACTAAACCTTGATCATCATAAGCAGCAGCAGGCCTTCCTTGGACTCGTAAGAGACCCTATGGTTCAAAAACCAAATGACCTGTTGTTAGAACAAGTAGAAGGTTTAAAATGTATATAAAGAAGAAGAGAGGGTAAAAAATCAACCTACCTGGCATTTCTCGACCCTTTGATCCCAAAGCAAAACAGTTCGATCAAGAGAACCGGAGATGAAGGATTCACCAGCAGAACACAAGCTAAGCGAAACAACTCTGTGTAACCAAAAATAATTAAAAAAGGTGAACTAAACCTTACTTGGCGTAAAGAAGAAGAATAAATGAAAACAACCTGTCATGATGTCCTTTGAAGTATCGCAAATACTTGTTATCGTGCAAAGAGAGAAGGCGCAGAGAGTCTGAAACCAGAAAAGGAAGGTAGGGATGTTAGATCAAATGAGGGTAAATAATAATGTGGAAGGAAGAATGGGGTTAGTTAGTACTCACTAACCATCCCAGCCGTTACGGGAAGAGTAGATGACAGTGGTTGGATGCGAAGTGAAGCAAACCAGATCAACCCCATACTTTTTGCTGTTTACCGTCTTCAGGCATCTAGACCACCAAATCAAAATAAGACTATCTCTTTTATTATACTCAGTCAACATCAATAACTAACTCACGTAGCAGTAGCAACATCGTAGAGACGAATGGAGTCATCGTCGCTAGCCGTCACCATATTACTCGAGTTTTTGTTAAAGTCTATCGAGCTTATCCTGCAATTCTGCAACCTTTTCCAAATCAAATTCAAAAGCTATAATAATATTATAGAGACTAACGAATCAATCAATTTACATAGTCTCTGAAAACAGCTCCAGGTTCCATGCTCCGCACAATCTCTTCACTCAGTTCCAACGATACTCGTTCCTCTCTCTCCGCCGCCCCTGCACACAAATTCCCACAATCGATTAAACTCATCATCTCTTACGTTAAACATTGAACCCCATACGCACGCAATATCTCACCACCCATTATTGCTCCGCCCGCCGGTGATCGGGGAACAAAAAGCCCTGCCCTAACTAATTAATCATCCCCCGCCGATGCCATAAGATTCTCTCGATTTGAGGCGCCATTTTCACTATGGGCTCTTATCTGAGTAAGGCCCATATTGTACACTTTCCCTTTCAACATAGTAGTGGGCCTTCCAAATAACAAGCCTTAGAAGACTAGACAGACCGCCGATCATATTTGACTTGTCCATCCACTCTTGTTACAATATATACTTTTTATATCAAGCAGATCAAGAATTGGTCGTTGGTCGCATCATGCATGCAGGAAGCAATACTGACTTAATAATATGTTTTCCTTTTGGTTACTGTAGGGCTTTTGCCTGGAGATTGCTCTTTCGCAAATCATTCATTGGCAAAATATATATATACAGAACCCTCTTTTGTGTCACCAGACCAGGTGGAGGAGGCTATGGGATTGTCACGTGGCATTCCACCAGGTCCTACTTCAATGTGTGGGTGGAGGGCGACAAAAGAAAGATAGATTTTAGCTGTCATTTGATTCCTCACTTATTATTTTATTCCCCAATTTCTTCTTCTCATAATAATTATTATTAATTAGTTGTGTGTGTGTGTGTGTGAGAGAGAAGAGAACGCAAAAACACACATCATTTTGCTATTGTGTTTCCTATATGATCCTCCAGCCAGGATCTGATCAGTGAGTCTACTCTCTCCAACGAATTCATATGTAGTATACTTTTTCCAATCGAAAATTAATGATTCATATGTAGTTGCTAGTTGGCTCATTTTTCTCAAGATTGGTTGGGTGAATGTTAAAAGAGAGGGACGTGGTCACCACAACTTTGTTTCCATACTCGACGACACCTCACCTTTGGTTTAGAAAATCTTGATGAAACACAAACACATAAAATAAAGAGAAAAGAGAAGAAAGAAAGAGTGTAAAAGTCAGACGGAAGGGTATACTAGTCATTTCGTAACGGAAAGACTTTTACAGTAATCTAACAGCCGCGTTTGACAATATTTTTTCCTCCGGAGATTTAGAAAGTAATAAGGATTCTTCTCCGATTCGTTCCATCGTCAATCGATTGATTCGCGCATAATTTCAGATCGAAACAGTTGGGTGGGTTGTGGATCGATATTAAGCAAGTTTTGATCAGAGATGGCTGATATCGTGAAGCAGATCTTAGCGAAGCCGATCCAACTGTCTGACCAGGTGGTGAAAGCGGCTGATGAGGCAAGTTCGTTCAAGCAGGAGTGCGCAGAACTCAAGGCCAAGACAGAGAAGCTGGCAGGCCTTCTCCGCCAGGCTGCACGCGCCAGTTCGGATCTCTACGAGCGCCCCACTCGGCGTATAATAGACGACACGGAGCAGATGCTGGACAAGGCTTTCTCCCTGGTCCTCAAGTGCCGAGCCAACGGCATCATGAAGCGCGTCTTCACCATCATCCCCGCCGCCGCCTTCCGCAAGATGTCTGCTCAGTTGGAGAATTCCATCAGTGACGTCTCCTGGCTCCTCCGCGTCTCCGCTCCCGCCGAGGACCGCGGCGACGCTGGTTACCTTGGTCTCCCTCCCATCGCCGCCAACGAGCCAATCCTCTGCCTCATCTGGGAGCAGATTGCTCTTCTCCACACCGGATCCCTTGAAGACCGCTCCGATGCTGCCGCTTCCCTCGTTTCCCTCGCCCGTGACAACGATCGCTACACCAAGCTTATCATCGAGGAAGGAGGCGTGGGGCCTCTCCTTAAGCTTCTCAAGGAAGGCAAACCCGAGGGGCAGGAGAACGCTGCTCGTGCGTTAGGCCTGCTTGGTCGAGATCCCGAGAGCGTGGAGCATATGATCCACGGCGGCGCCTGCTCCGTCTTCGGCAAAGTCCTCAAAGAAGGACCTATGAAGGTCCAGGCCGTCGTTGCCTGGGCTACCTCTGAGCTTGTCTCCAATCACCCCAAGTGTCAAGACATGTTCGCTCAGCACAACGCCATTCGCCTGCTTGTTGGTCACTTGGCGTTTGAAACCGTCCAAGAGCACAGCAAGTACGCCATTGCCAACAACAAAGCTACTTCCATTCACCACGCGGTTGTTCTCGCCAAGGAGAACCCTAATTCCACCCCTTCCCACTCCACAGCCCTGTCCAAGGGTTTGGACGATGATCAGAGCTCCATTCCACATCCCACGGGGAAGCAAATGCCCAATCAGATGCACAATGTCGTCGTCAACACCATGGCCAACCCTCCCAAGAAGTCTACTAGCAATGGTGTGTTCCAGAGTAAAGGCGTTGTTAAGCCCCCTTGCAGTAGCCTACAGCAGCACCAGAATTCCACTTCCAAGACTCGAGAGCTGGAGGACGCAGCCACCAAGTGTCAGATGAAGGCCATGGCTGCCAGGGCTCTCTGGAAGCTGGCCAAAGGCAACTCCACCATCTGCAAGAGCATCACAGAGTCGAGAGCTCTCCTTTGCTTTGCTGTTCTCATAGAGAAGGGCAATGAAGAGGTCAGATACAACTCAGCTATGGCATTGATGGAGATCACCGCTGTTGCAGAGCAGGACGCTGACCTTAGACGCTCCGCATTCAAGCCTAATTCCCCTGCCTGCAAGGCTGTGGTTGATCAAGTGCTTAAAATCATTGAGATTGCAGATTCTGAACTACTTATCCCCTGCATGAGAACCATAGGAAACCTTGCAAGAACATTCAGAGCAACAGAGTCAAGGATGATTGGGCCTTTGGTGAAGCTTCTGGATGAAAGAGAGCCTGAAGTGACAGGAGAAGCAGCTGTTGCCCTCACAAAATTCGCATGCACGGAGAATTACTTGCACAAAGATCACTCGAGGAGTATAATAGAAGCTGGAGGAGGGAAACATCTGGTTCAGTTGGCCTACTTTGGGGAGAGTGGAGTTCAGATTCCGGCATTAGAGCTCCTATGTTACATAGCATTGAATGTACCGGACAGTGAGCAGCTGGCAAAGGACGAGGTTCTAGCAGTGTTGGAGTGGGCTTCGAAACAGTCTTGGGTGACACAGCTGGAGAGCTTAGAAGCTCTGTTGCAGGAGGCTAAGGGGAGACTGGACCTGTACCAGTCAAAAGGATCAAGGGGTTTCAATTTCAATTGATTCATTTGTTTCCATTTTGGATGTCTCTTGTGTTCTCTCTGCTTGTATTTCAATTGCACGCACGTTTCAATTGTTTCTCTCGGCCTTGTTTAATAGCACCTACGTGTAAAGCAAGAAGTTTAAAGGATGGAGGTTTTTTTGTAGCTGTTCTTCTCTCTCTCTCTCTGTTTGATATTTTTCAGTATATATTCCTAATATCTGCAGACGATATCAATGATTGTTTGAGCCTTTTTTTGAAGAATAGTTCTTCTGGAATTGGGATGAGATTTTAGAGGGATGATGACTGCGTGTGAAAACAGTCAAAGGCCAGGAGGATAATTATTAGTTTGATAAATCCTGGCCAGTAACTAGTAGACTGTGAGGGATATAGCCACTGATGTGTGAACATGTTTTTCTATTTGGGTGGATATGTAGGACAAATGATAAGCTGTAATAACTTATCCTTGGTCTCGCATTTTCCTTCACACACATCCTATCACAACCTGATCATATAGCTTCCTCTGACATTTTTCTTTGATCTTTCCTCTTTTTGTCAGAAGAAAGCCAAAGTTCCATCCAAACATGGCTGCTGCTATAGGTGCTGCAGTCTCTTTTCCTTCATCCAAATCCTGTTCTCTCCCCACCAAAACCTCTTCTGTTTCCCCTCAAAGGATTTTCCTCAACAACAAGGTATCATTTAATCACAGCGCTTGCCATCTGTTTCCGAGAATGACCAAAAGAGTCTTACAGTTTTGTTCTCTGTATTGACATGCATAATTGGTTGGTAATATCTACAGAGCACACGAGAGGCGTGTATTTATAGGGGAAGAGTGAAGGCTCAGGTGTCAACAGAGGCGCCAGTGAAAGTAGTCAAGGAGTCAAAGAAACAGGAAGAAGGAATTGTTGTCAACAAATTCAAACCAAAGGACCCTTACACTGGTCGTTGCCTCTTGAACACCAGGATCACCGGTGATGATGCTCCCGGTGAGACCTGGCACATTGTCTTCACCACCGAAGGTACGATATACAGTCATTAGAATGTTTTGATTTATTTTTCCCTCAAGTTGTTTGGTTAAAAATAAGTATGAATGGAGTGTAGGTGAGGTTCCATACAGAGAAGGGCAGTCGATAGGAATTATTCCAGAAGGAATTGACAAGAACGGGAAGCCCCACAAGCTCAGGTTATACTCTATCGCCAGCAGTGCCATTGGTGACTTTGGAGACTCCAAAACCGTGAGCTTTCCTCTCTCTAACAATGAAGACGATTTCACATACTTGATCTTCTCTCTCCTTCAATGCAGGTTTCTCTCTGTGTCAAGAGATTGGTTTACACAAACGAAAGCGGAGAGCTTGTTAAGGGAGTCTGCTCCAACTTCTTGTGTAAGTCTAAGAAGATGAATAAAACCAATTTATGGGTTTAAAACTCTTCTTAGTGGTCTGTGGTATTTTCTTCTGTTTACAGGTGACTTGAAGCCGGGTGATGAGGCAAAGATCACTGGACCAGTTGGGAAGGAAATGCTTATGCCTAAAGACCCTAATGCCACCATCATCATGGTATTGTCATATAATATTAACTGCCACTACGTGGATAAGACTTTCAAGTTCCGTAATCAACATTCCGAATGATTACTTGTTTGTTTTCCGTTTACCTTAGCTTGGAACAGGAACTGGAATTGCTCCATTCAGATCATTTTTGTGGAAAATGTTCTTTGAGGAGCACGAGGACTACAAGGTGAAACCAACATCTCAAACTCTATCTCTGTCACACTCACTAATTATACTGTAACTCACTCATCATTTGACCTTAGCTGGCTTTTATTTTGACTATATATGTAGTTCAATGGTTTGGCGTGGCTCTTCTTGGGTGTACCCACAAGCAGCTCACTTCTCTACAAGGAGGTAATCCTAGTCACTTGTAAACTAATATTTTCTTGTACGTAGAGCTGGTAGTCTAACCTGTGTGGATAAATAATGACAGGAGTTTGAGAAGATGAAAGAGAAGAACCCGGAAAACTTCAGGTTGGACTTTGCGGTGAGCAGGGAGCAGACAAACGAGAAGGGAGAGAAAATGTACATACAGACAAGAATGGCAGAGTATGCAGAAGAGCTGTGGGAGTTGCTGAAGAAAGACAACACCTTTGTTTACATGTGTGGTCTCAAGGGTATGGAAAAGGGCATCGATGAGATCATGGTCTCACTTGCTGCTAAAGATGGTAAGTAACTTTAAATTCATTTCATATTTTGGGAACCAAGCAAGTCTCTGCTGCACATGGTCTTAACAAACTAGGGGATTTTTGAACAGGGATCGATTGGTTGGAGTACAAGAAGCAATTGAAGAGAAGTGAGCAGTGGAATGTGGAAGTCTACTAAGCTAGTGAGGGGTTTATTACTATGTAGATAAAAGGAGCTGATGCCATTGCCAATTATTCATTTTCTGCATCTTTCTTTTTTCTTGCAACAATATTATAGTGTGTGTGTTTTGGAATACAAGCTCAGCATTTCGCTACAAACAATATTATAGTGGGTTTAGGAAATCAACCTCACTCAGGAAATGTACATATAAGAATGTGACAGTTGAAAAGTGGCAAGTTGTAGTTCATGAATTGGGATTAGGAAAGTTATAAAACTTAATTGTTCTAAGCAATCCACTTTCTATTCTTCTCACAGCCAAGAACTTTGAGTAGAGTCATCAACCAAACGACCCTTATTTCTGCAAGTGAGATTATAATAGATAACAGCGGCATCACAACACATTCTTCTCTGCTTCTCTGGGTGCCATTTTCTTGATTCTCGCAACAAAGAGGCCGCTGGTTGCTGAGGTGGAAGGGTCGAAGCGCAATGTTTTTGGAGTGCGGCCACTTCTACACGGCCATTCCTTGGCCGTTTCAATCTCCTGCAGCTCTGCATCATCATCATCAACCAGTTTTATGTTACTTTGTCTCACTAGTCCTCAAGTAAAAGCACCAACAAACTCATTTGTTCAAAATTAATGTACCTGCGGAGGAGCTTTCAGCAAGGAACTGATCCACCACATCTTCGTTTTGGGCATGCGTCAAACTGTTAGTTGCACAACTTAGATCATGCTAAAAAGATTTAATAAAAAAAACACACAGACAGAGCTTAGTGTACTGTAGTCTACCTGCAGGTGCTGTATACAAGAATGCCACCTTGTTTCAACAATCTGAATCCATTTCTCAGTAGATTTAACTGCATACAAAGACCCTGTCAGTGATTGCCACAGAGGTTAGAGACACAAAGGGTCTTACTGATTTTGTTTACCTGAAGAGCAGTCAAGTTTGCCTCGGTTCTCTCAGCATCCAGTACACGGCGTTCCAACGTTGTCCAACCCCATTGCTCAAACTTGTGGATATGCTTGATTGAACCATCATGTGTGCACTCTGCGTCTACAAGAACCTGCAAAATCACACTCTTTAGTCTAATTTTTAAAGTAACTGTTAGTACTATGTGCATATTACAAGTTTTACCTTGTCATACCCACAAAATGCAAAATCATTAGGGGCAAGGGATCTAAAAAGCTCCTTCTTTTGTAGCCCTATAACTCCAGAATTGTGTCCGTAAAAAATAATCTCCGGCTGTCCACCATGCGGCAAGACAAGGTTATTCCTGGTCTTGGCTACTTGTTTCCTTTCTTTGTAAGGTCTACGAGAAGTCCACTGCTTAAATGTTTCTTCATCACAAGAGCCACCTGGATAATGAACTCTTTAGCATTGGTATAAGAAGATTAAAAGAAAACGGAGTCTTGTAAGTGTTAAAAGTAGTGTTGGTCGCTGTACAAGGGAGGTTTGTGGTAGGTGGAAGTGAGAAAGTAGTTCCATCAGCAAGGAAAAGACGACTCCTATCACCGAGACCATATTTTAGAAGCATTGTTCTGCAGGCAGAGAGGCGATGCCTTGCAACATCGACACCTGTTGCAGAACCCTTGTCACCCAGTAGGTCTAGCATCATACACAGTTTAGCACCTGAGAGAGAGAGAGAGTATTTGTTATGTTAACATACACACACACAGAGAAAGATCAACTAAAGAAAAAGTGGATGCAAAAAAAGGAATGACCAGGAGCAGCACAAAGATCCAAGACATGGTCTCCTGGGGAGATACCAAGAGCTGAAACAGCAGCACCTGAAGCTGCGTCTATTCCATACATCTGAAAATAATCCCACACATAAAGAACATAAGACATAAGAGATGAACTTTGCTTGCTCTCTCACTCTCACCTTACCTTGCCTTGCTGATAAGCCTTGGATCTGGCTATGTGAACATGTGGAGGAATGGAGTAAAATCCAGGTAACCAATTCAGCTGCTCCAGCTTGCAGTTAATTTCAGATTCAATCTCTTGGACAGCATCCTCGAACCCAGGTTTCAACCTTCAAACGTGCCCTCTTTGATTTCAAAAAAAAAGAAAAAAAAAGAAACAGGATTCATGACAAGGAGGTCTCCAGTTACCTTACATAGCGTGGAAGTGAATCTCCGTGATTATAGATTGAAGGATCAATGCCATTGTCCTCTAAAAACCTAACAAAACTCTCCGGCAACTGCAGCTCCTTCGACATTATAACCGCCGCAGAGTCGATCGAGAGAGAGAGAGCGCGCTTTTGTTCTGGTCGGGACGAGATCATAAAAGAAAGCAAAAGACTATGGGCTTTCGTTGGGCCTTAATATATTATATTAATTCTATCTACTCGAAAGCCCAAAGATTATGCTCGCTCCGGTTTGTTTTAATTTGAGATCATCGCAACGGTAAATTTCATGCAAAGACTGTATTATTTAATAACCCACTCCCTGTCTTTTTTTTTTTATTTGATAAAACAACACAATGCAAATTCTAGATACAGAGAGAGAGAGATGGCT